CAACCTAGGCCATAATAATCCAAAAAAATTAACATATCTTAATCATTCCTATTAAGTGTAACTGTATAAGCGTTAAAACATTTCAAATAATTAAAGTTATAGTGTGATTGTTTAGTTAGATTTAAATTAAATAACATCTTAACATGTGTATTATATATATCGAACTATTAGTATAGACTTCCTTCCAGTGTTTATATTAATAATTTATTTAATAAAAACAGAAACTGGATTAATCAAAGTAATCCTAACGCCTAATTTTTTTCATTAATAACTTATTTTTTAAAAAGAATCCTCTTATTTTCTATTTTAACATGACATATCAGTTAATAAATATTAATCATTCAATTGAACTAAACATGAATCAACAGCTGGAAATAAAAATAGATAACTTTTTTACTTTTTAAAAATTTTCCTATTTAATTTTCCATATCTCTAAAATATTTTTTTAATTCTTCAAAATAAAAAGAGTTGTCGTGTGATTGAATTGCTTAGCATTGGCTGTAAAATGCTCTCTTTTTTTCACAAAAGCTGCCCTACCCATAATTTATTTAAAAGCAAAAAATTAAAATAATACTCCAAGCTTTAAGTTTCATTAAATATATCATTTTTTCGTTTAATAAATAAAATAGAATTTTAAATAAAATTTGGATGTTCTTAAAAAAAGTACATAAACTTAACATAAAAAAAATTAATTAAAAGGAGTATTTTATAAATACATAGATCTGATTTGGACCATGAAAAAATAAGAAAGAAAAGGACAAAAATTAGAAAAGAAATAAGAAAATAAAGTAAAAATTTACTTCTTTTTTAGTCTCAACTACTGATTAATTTTTTATTAATATAATGATTAAAATTTATCAACATTATATATTATGTTAAAATAGGAAATGAGAGTACCCTTTTTTTTTGGGTGCTAGGATACCTCCTGTTAAGGGTTTAGAGATTCCAAATACTAGTAGACACCATATATGCTGGCGATGACCGGATAGTTGGAGTATTTTTCATACTCATCCATGTTTTGTAATCCAATCCTAACTTTTTCTTTTTCTCTAAAGTACAAGAAAATTCTCTACGTTAGAAAAAATTATATCAATTAATTCACATGTTTGATGATAATTTTAACGTCTATTTTGACAATAATTATATTAATTATTTAATAATTATAACTCTTTAACATGTATTTTATTATTAGTTAAATTTATTAAAAATTAAAAAAATTATGTAGATGTTAGTCTTTCTCATTTCTAAATTAATATTTTTCTCTTGTACTTTTAGAATTTTCAATAAATTTTAATTAATAAATTATGTTAAAGAAATTGTTACTAGCATTCTTCTTAATAATTCTTTTATACAAAAGTTGCTCTTATAACTAATTATGATTAAAGATAAAATGAATATGTTTAAGAATAAAATAAAATTTTAAAAAGCATAAAACAAATTATGAATATTTTATAAAATATATTTGAAATATTTGGCAGAAAACCAGCAGGATCATATAGGATTTCTGTGAGAAGTTTTGACTTCTTGCCAAACTCTAGGAAAGGGCATCGACTAGCATTTTTGACTGAGTCGTCTTACCTCTGATAGCAGGTATACCGAAATTAAGAAAATGTTCCAGCCTAAAGTCAAAAAAATAAAATGTGAGAGTAAAGTATAAATAATTAGTAGTTAAACGATAAGAAATGTGTACATATACGTATAGATAGGAATATATATACCACTATCGTAAAGTCTTTTATCATTGATATTTTAAATATGGTTTCTGTAAAATGTTTCACATAAAATCGTATCATTATCATTGCATAGTCACGTAAAGATTAAGATTATCCAGAGTTTTACTTTCCCGAAATTTCAATTAATTGATAGTATAGATGTTATTTAATAAGTCACATTTAAAAATATCGCTAACTAATATGTTTATCTAAAGTAAATAGAGTGATGAGGTTCTAAACCATGACATATATAATTCCAAAGCCTGAGTTCGCTTAGACTCTAGAGCAGGACCACTTGGATGCTTCCAGATTTTCACATCAATCTTAATTAGATAAAGAAGAAGGATACCCATATACTGAGAATGCAAGAACGAAGAATTGCGGCTGGAAAAATATCTTCAGCTTTGGTATGTGGGCTGAACACGCAGTTAACAACTTGCAAACAAGTCCCTCATAAAGAAGAAACAACAAAAATAAAATGTGCAATTGATTAATTCACTTCTTTTTTAATGTGTATTTAAAAATACAAAATAGAAATTTATATGAAATAAAATTTTATTAAAATTGAAAAATATGTAATATATTAATAATATTAAATATAATAAGTCTTAATGGAAAATATTATTTATTGATTTTTATTACATAGCTAGCTTCAAGCACACGTTAACAAAATTGTTGATTATAATCTGCACAAAGCAGGTTGACGATAATGATACAGGTAAGAATCTAGTACAACTATAAAGCTACGTAGGGGACCTCGCATTTACCAAATGCATGGCGGTGGTGGGGTTGATCTTCGATTATGGAGAAAATGCCAATGCCATTAGAGAATTAATATAGACATAAAATATTTTCATATTCTAATGTATTTTATATATATACTATTTTGCTGCTTCCGAAAAGCCAGTTACATTTGGATTGTGTGAAGCAGTTCAGTTTTTTTCATATATCATTATATATGCCATTTGCGTATAGGCTTATACATACGATGCTAAAGACTACGCAACTTGTTTGTTTTCTTCTGCATGCGTTTATCGGTTGTCCTTTTTCTTCTTTGTATTGCAAGTTTACAACCTGTATTTATCTTTATGCTTGCGATATATACGGGTTAGTAATGATCATGTAGCTAAGGTACGTTATGTACATATATATACGTACCTGCCTCATACGGTATGCCCACGACTTCACTGTAGTTCGTAATATTGAATATTCTCTCAACATAATTTTGCTTGAAGGATAACTCTGTTAATCATCTTTCTTTTTAACCCCTATATATATATATATTGATATTGTTTAGCTTTGTCAGATAAAGCGATGGTGTCTTTTTCAAGTCAATGATAAGGTGATATGTAATTGTAATCCAATAAAAAGGACTAAAATATTTTACTGAACACTCAGCCGCCATGAGCTTCCTCTCCCCCCTCACTAGTTAAAATAATCCGTATAATGTATAAAAGAGTATTAATTAAAATATTTTATTAGATTAAAAATATTTGATAACCCAACTTATTAATAAATATGATATGACATAAAATAACACATTCATGTATATATATTTCACTTTCATCAGTTTTGGTTATTCTTGAGATAAACTCATTTATTGAACACACTTTATATTACCAAAATCATAGCTTTTACCAGCTTTCTCTTATTTAAGAAAAAAATAGCCAAAATATTACTGTGATATTCAATTTATAGCGAATAAAGCAGCTTTGATGGTATAAAAATTACAGTTATATGTATGTGTGTGTTTTGTTAATTAATACTTTACAATAATCTGAAAATTTAACTATTTCATTAGAATTAACTCCTAAAATTAATTTTTATTTTATTAATAAGTATTTTTTTTTAATTTTGAACTATTTAAATATTATATAAGTATGATATGGATAAAAGGTATTAAAAAACAATTAATATTATGTTAAATACTTACGTAGACAGATAAATAAAAATAAAATTAATTTGTCCTTTTAAATAAATAATAAATAAAAAGTGAGATAATATAAGTTAATATTTTAACTATTTAATACTATAGATTTGTAACATATAATTATTTTTATTCATTTTAATAAATTAATAATTTATCTATTATAAAAAGAATCGATGTAATCGTTAATAAAATATTTTTTTTACAATAACACTAGTAATAGATAAGGAATAGTTAAAAGAATACTTTTGTTAAATTTTGTCTTTAGGATAAGTATAAATTTAACAAATAATACATTTTTATTTTAAAAATTATTTATTATATTTTTACCTCTAATCTGATTTTTTTTAATAACATTTATTAAGTTTAATTTTAATTTTAAATTTTATAATTCAAAATAATTTTATTAATTTTAGTCAAATAAATGTAAGAATTTAAAAATCATAATTTTATAAAAAAATATTTACTATGCTTTTATATTCTTAAAAAATAAATATTTTGATTAAATCAATATTGTTTATCAAGGATTAAATTTAATATTTTTATTAAAAAAAACAACATTTTTAATGTATGTTCAAGAATATATGTTACAATATTAAAAATAAAATACTTATTATTTTAAAATGATAAAAAATGATTTATATTTTATAAAAAAATTATGATTTTGAAAAAAAATTATTATATATTTTTCATTTTTTCCTAATAAATAGAACCTATAAGAATATAAATTAAAATTAAAAAAGATAAATATAAAGTTCAATGATATTAAACGAATATAAAATTATCATATCATAATATTTAAAAATACTAATTTTTAATGAATTGAATTAATTTATATAATTTAATTAGAAATAATTTAAAAATAAAAAATATATTAAAAATGATTTAACACGTGTTTATGACGTAATAAAAAAGACAGGAACTTTGAACTTAAGGGAGAAATTGACAGTAATTGATATTAGCGGTAGGTAGATGACAGTAATTTTGCATTGATGGGCTAAAGTGTTACTATGGCTCAAATTCAGGGTTTCATGATGAGAAGGAGTGGCCCCCACGCCCACACCCAGCGCGTGCTTCCTCTCTCTGGGCCGTTAATTCTTGGCGCTACTCTGACGTGCGTTAAATCCAACTCTTCCTAGTTCCCAAGCCATGCTAAACTGCAACACCCCCTCACCACCGTCTTAAATCTCAACCAACCAAAACTCGCCACGTCATCTACGCCCACTCTCTACCGTCTGATGAAGCAGCAGGCTTTCTATGATTCAGGTCTCAAGTGGGGCCATGCAGAAGCCACTGGACCTCCCTCTCTGTGTATAAAATCCGTAAACGCTGCAACTTATGTTCCCTCTCACTTCACTCGCTCGCATATTTTGTTTGGTTATCACGAGACCCATAGTATAGTGCCAATTATAACTTTCGGTTTCTCTGAACATGTGTGGAGGTGCTATTATTTCAGACTTCATTGGCGTCAAGCGTGCCCGCAACCTCGCCCCTCACGACCTCTGGTCCGAGCTCGACCCTTTCTCCGACCTCCTCGGCTTCCAACCCACCCCCCAACCACCCAAAAAAGGTACCAACCCACTATTCAATTTTATCCTATCATCATATTTTTTGTTGTTCCACTGTGTAAGATCATGATCCTAACAACGTGTATATTTTCGCCTGGTATCTAGTGGTAGATATAAATAGATGGTGTTTGTTCAATTGGTTTCGAATGAAAATGAAGTAAAGTCCAAGCTTTCACTAATTTGACATTAATAATTAACATGATCCCAATGTTTGTTTTGGTTACGTTTTTCAAAGAAGGGTAAAAGGAAAAGGCAACTTTTAGCACCAGAAGCAAACTCAACTATTGTTTCCAGAAAAGAATAGTACGCCAATTAGCCACCACCCTTCAAAAAAGGATCCAAAATTTTTTTCTTTTTTTTTTTTTGAAGTTTTTAAGGTGTCACATGATGAAAAGGATTAAGGCAGCGTTTGTTTGTTTGTGGCAGAGGTAGCATGTGACAAGAAGGAGAAGAAAAGCGTGGGTGGAGGGAAGAAGAGTAGCGATGGTAAGAGAACTCGGAAGAACGTGTACAGAGGAATCAGGCAAAGGCCATGGGGCAAGTGGGCCGCAGAAATAAGGGACCCACATAAGGGTGTCCGTGTCTGGCTGGGCACCTTCCCCACCGCCGAAGAAGCCGCCAGAGCCTACGACACCGCCGCCAAACGCATCCGTGGCGACAAAGCCAAACTCAACTTCCCCGCCACCACCGCCACTCCGCCGCCGGACCCACCCTCCAAGAAGCGCTGCCTCACCCCTGACACCACTGAACAAAGCACCACCCACTCCGCCGCATCTCCGCCATACTCCGCCGTGAACGGCGGAGACAGCGGAGGAGAGGAACTCGACCTGAAGCAGCAAATCTCGAACCTTGAGTGGTTCCTCGGCTTGGAGAATGAGCAGCCGGTGTCCGTCGGAAGCTCCGGCGGTGCTGAGTGGGATAACAATGATAACTACATGGACGACCTTTGGATGCTAGACGACGTTGTTATGTCCAACCGTCACATGGTTTACTAAGAATTATTAAGGAGAAAAAATTTGGCGTTTTTATGAGTTTAGTGAGTGTATAAAACTATGTTGTTAAGAGTTTCTGTTGTTGTCTCTTATCTTCTTTTGGTTTGGACGGTGGATGACTTCGTAATTAGGAGGGGAACCTTATAAACAGGGGCGTTGTGATTATATATTATGATTATAAATAAAAGTAAGTTAGGGTGTGTTAGTGTTTGCTTCGTACATGGATATAATATATGTGTTGTCGTTTTAATGAAGTGTCTTTTGCAAATAACCTCGTTTATGATTGCGATGTTGGTGCATGAATCTGATCGCTATTCTCTAGATTTAGTTCGATTGCATAACGTGTGTGTTTAATTAATTATTTAAATAAGTCTAGTTGCTAAAAAGTAATTATTAATTATTATGTATACTATTATCCATTATCCACGAATAATCATGGAATTGGATTGGTATACATGTATTAATATAAAAATTAAGTAAAAGATATTTACATATAAATAAGTACATCATTATATGTATTTTTGTCTTATTGATATATTTCGGATATAAAATTAATTTTCTTTGGAGTGCCGAGGCTGCACTTTCCAGTAATACCTTTTCAATTATTTACTGAAATTGGTTTAATTATCATTATCAAGACCAAAGCACCAAACACGGTTTTCTGTGCTGGAAATCGGGAAATAAAAACGGAAATGACGGTTGACAATTGATTCTCTGTGTTTCTTTTTTTCCTTTTTTCATATTTCATATTCATTGATTTTACATGTTACTAGCTTTACTGTTTGTTGGCTAGAACCAGTTTGTCCACCCTTTCTCCTCCCCCTCTCTATGCACAGGCATGTGCCTCTACACATACACACGTAAGGTCAAATTAATTTTACAGTGCCTTTTTTCCTCCCTACTCTCCCTAAAAGTTGCACTCTCCTGTGATAATTGTTTGTTTTTGTCAGTGTCTACTTATTTTAAAATTAAATAGAATTAATTTTGAATTGTTATACATAATTTAAATCAGCTTGATCATATATTTTACATCAAAAGGTCTGTACAATGTAAAAAAAATAATATTGTTTTTATTAAAAAATATGTTACATTAAAATTATAAAAATATATTAAATATTTAATTTTTTAATTAAAATTTATTATTTTTTATACTTAAATGTTATAAGTTAGTAAAATTGATAAAATAATAGGTCTTAAATCAATCTTGATCTCCATGACTCCATGCTACAATCATGAAATGCAAAGTTAGGAGTTTGGTTAAAGGTAAGTACAGAATTGATATTCCTCTAATCAAGGCTCAGTTATTATATCGCTTGGCCTATTTACCAGCAATCGCTCTGTATTATGTTTTGTGTAGTGATTAGTAACAAACAATTATCGATCCCATGGGTTTGGAATGTGAACTTAGGTTTGTAATATAATGGCTGCTGTTTCTCTTCTTTACAAACGCTAGTAACTATCTAACTGTTATGATGAAAAGACAGTGCTGCAAAAGGATGTAGTTGGGGTAGTATATTTATGGATAATTAGGATTGTAATTTCATACTTAATATATTATGGTATGTCATCTTTTTTTAATCTAAAAGTGTCATTGGTTTGTATTTTTTATTCTTCTTTGGTAAGAGAATTAAATGAAAATTAATGCTGTCAAAATTTTCTTAAATTATGACCAAGATTTATACAGTTATGATGCATATTTGACAATTTTAAATTAGAACCTCTTCTTTATTAGATGAAGTAAAGATTAAGCGTGTAATTGTTGCATGGAAATAAAGTGGTAGTCACAATCATTGTAGACACAAAGCAAACTATTATTGATAATTAATTTAGGAGACTAAGAAAGTATGAATTGAAAATAGATGTTTATAAATCATATGTCAAAGGAGTGTAAGAACAGATTGAAAAAACTTATTAAACTTGTACAAGAGCAAGCGAAAAACTCTAGTAAATTTGCATGCCCTTATTTAGATAATTATTATGTAAAGTGAATTAGTGAAGCTCGATTTGAAGATCATTTAGTGAGTAATGAAATTGATCATTACATATTGGACAAGAGACTTAAATAGTGATTTGGAGAACAATGAGATATGCATCAAATAATATCAGTATAAATATGAGGACAACCATTCTGAAGAGACGTGTTGTGTAGTTTTTTTTGTTTTTTTTTAAAGATTGTGTTAAAATATTTGAAAGATTAAAAAATGATGTTAAGAAGTCATTTTAAGATTGTTGTACTATAAATTTAAAATACTCTAATTAAATAGTATTAAAGTTGTACAACTTAAAAATGATAAATAGATAGAACGATAAGAGCTTCATAAACTTATACTTTTAAAAATTATGCAATTAGTTAGATGATAATCTGTTTCTTAATTAAAAAATGAGGATAAACTATTGTGATACTCTATTGGGCATTGGCACGATGAGCTATAAGGAAACTTATTTTAATGATTACATTTTATTTTCAAATAATATACCTAATTTAGGATGTGTCTTAAATATATTTTGCAATGTAAAAGTATATTGTATAATATACTATCTGAACTATCTATTAGTAAGATGTAATTAATACCCATATACCAATGAAAGTTTTACATCCAACTGTTAGTATATGAAAATTTGTATATTAAGAATTTAATATAATGACTACATTTTAATACCTTGGTTTTTTTTTTTTTATAATCTTAATTCTAACTTTTGCAATCTCAAACCAAAAAACTACAAGCATATTTACGGTGATTATTGTAATTTGTAAGTTTGAAATTTTTTATTGTTAATTATAAATTTAAAATAAAAGATGTTTAACTAAAATAAAGTTAAATTACTTTTTAACTTAATTTAAATTACTTTTAACTCAATTTTTAAAATAAAAAACTGTTTTGTAAAAATAAATTATTTACTTTTCCTCTTTTGATGGGCCCACACACGTTGTTACTTCTTTGTCAATCACCGCAATAGTTGACTGGTTAAAAAATGATGGACTGACAAAAAAAAATGTAAGGAATGATTTATGTAATTAACATTTAAAAATTAACTATTATTAAATTGAATTAAATTATGTACATAAATAATTAAAAATATATTATCTATTTTTTTTCAAATTCAATTCATTTTATAAATTTAAAAATAAATATTATAAGTATTAATAATAAATATTTTTTTATAAATTAAAATTTATATTAATATTAAATTTAAAAATAAATACATAATGTATACAAAATTACTTAGTATGATAAAAAAATTATGTCTTAAAAACACTTTTGTTTAAAAATTAAAAATTACGATTTATGTAATAAGATGATTAATTTAAAAATTTTAAATATAAAGATCACAAATAATTGAAACTAAAGTTAAAAGTTAATAAATAGTTTTAATTTCTAAAATTTTAAAAGCAAATCGAATAAGATTTACATATTTAAATAATTATGAATTCATATTTATTTTAATATTATTAGTTGTGACTGAAACCGGATGAAAACATGAATCTATAATATGTAATACGTCATAGTAGTTTTATAGAACATGATATTTATAAATTTGAAGTATATAATAGAATAGAATTCCATTAAAATATAAAAATTTCTCAATTTGTGACGATCCATTCCCTTGCTTGTGAGCTTTGTTATATATATATATATGTTTGAAGAATGATGGTGGCACTCTCTCATTGGAAAGCTGAAACCACCATGGAAGACAATAATATATAAGACGAAGTTTTAAAAATGGTATCTGTTTGTGATTGATATTTCGCTGTCGGCAACAATAAGGATGCCGTTTTTCCTGTCCTCAGTTCGTGAATTGGACGATTTATTAGTCTTTCTGCTTTACATTTCAATTGCGTACACTCATGTCATACCATTCTGTCTCTGATTAACATCACAATATTACAATTAAGAGGTTGGAATAATTAAAGGAAATTTATTTATCTTTTGTATATAATTAAGAGTAAATTATGCGAAGATATTATAAAATAAAACAAGAAACTCATGCATGTATTGATTTTCTTAAAGGTTTTGGGTCCGTATGTGGATCAAATCTTGCTTAACTTAATGATGGAAAAGTATAATCTCTCTTTTTTTAAATAATTTAAATATATTGATAGTATAAAATCTATTATAGTAATTTTTAAAGTCATTAATTTGATAATTACTTTAAAGTTGTACTTAAGATATTGTTTTATTGATTGAAAATATTTGAAAAAATTGCATAAATAAATTATAAATATTGTGGGTCGTTTGGTAAATAAGATATAATAAAAAATATAGGATATATGAGTTTGATAGGAATAAGATATAGGATAAGAGTAAAACTTGTCCTTGTCTTATTTCATATCTAATGCATATCAAAATAATAAATTAAATATATTATATTGTTATATTTTAGTTATTTTTAATCCAAATCCCTGAACATAATACATTTATATTAGAGTGCAAGATAAAATAAATTTGTAGGATAAAGTGATATCTTGTTAATAAAAAAGAACACTAAAAATAGGATAAAATAAAAAAAAATATCATGTAATGTATATCAAACGATGGAACCCTGCTTAATTCAGTAAGGGTAATATAAAATAAAAATGAGCCATACAAAATTCAAAACATGTCTAGTGTGAAAGAGTTTTACCCCTCTTTTGGATAAGTTATATTTTTTATTTTTCAAAAACTATGATTTTTTATATTTAATTATCTATTTTTTTAAAAACATTTTTAGTGTTTTTTCAAATTTAATTTAAATTTAATTTTTTATTTTGAAATATTTTATCTTTAGCTTATTTCTATTTGATATAATAGAATATTTATTTTATAAATTTATAAAATTATCATATAGTACAATACAAAAAATTAACAAAAACTTATGCGTACTAGGCTTGTAAATATACGGAACAATATAATAACACACACACACATTTATATATATATATATATATATATATATATATATATATATATATATATATATATAACTATTTTTCTATTAAAATTAAAATTTGACCTACTTAACCTGTAAAATCTTAAATGTGTCAGTTTTTGTTGTACAAGTTAATGAAATAAAATAATATAAAATATTTAAAGGACTGCAACTATATTTTATCCAATAAATATGTAGGGTAAGATTACGTAATTGTTTGGATTCAAAGAACTCATAGTGATGGCCCATTGCTTTCTACCCTAACACATTCTATTAGATCTTTTTTT